GAAGCAACAGACAAAGGATTAATCTCAAAAATATACAAGCAACTCCTCCAGCTCAACTCCAGAAAAATAAATGACCCAATCAAAAAATGGGCCAAAGAACTAAACAGACATTTCTCCAAAGAAAACATACAGATGGCTAAAAAACACATGAAAAGATGCTCAACATCACTCATTATGAGAGAAATGCAAATCAAAACTACAATGAGATATCACCTCACACTGGTCAGAATGGCCATCATCAAAAAGTCTACAAACAAATGCTGAAGAGGGTATGGAGAAAAGGGAATGCTCTCGCACTGTTGGTGGGAGTGTAAATTGATACAGTCACTATGAAAGACGGTATGGAGATTCCTTAAAAAACTAGGACTAAAACCACCATATGACCCAGCAATCCCACTCCGAGGCATATACCCTGAGGAAACCAATTTGAAAAAGACACATGTATCCCATTGTTCACTGCAGCACTATATACAATAGCTAGAACATGGAACCTAGATATTCTAAAACAATAGCATGTCCTAGATGCTATATAGATGGCCTAGAACCTAGAACAATAGCAACCTAGACGTCCATTGACAGACGAATGGATAAAGAAGTTGTGGTACATATACAGAATGGAATATTACTCAGTCACAAAAAGGAATGCATTTGAGTCAGTTCTGATGAGGTGGATGAACCTATAACTTATTATACAGAGTAAAGTAGTTAGAAAGAGAAAGATAAATATCATATTCTAATGAACATATACAGAATCTAGAAAAATGGTACTGAAGAATTTATTTACAGGGCAGCAGTGGACAGACAGACATAGAGAACAGACTTATGGACATGGGGAGAGGAGAGGAGAGGGTGAGATGTATGGAAGGAGTAACATGGAAACTTACATTACCATATGTAAAATAGATAGCCAATGGGAGTTTGCTCTATGTCTCAGGAAATGCAAACAGGGGCTCTGTATCAACCTAGAGGGGTGGGGTGGGGAGGGAGGTGGGAGAGAGGTTCAATGGGAGGGGATATATGCATACCTATGGCTGATTCATGTTGAGGTTTGACAGAAAACAACAAAATTTGGTAAAGCAATTACCCTTCAATAAAAAAATAAATTTTAAAAAATGAATTAAAAAAAAGACATATGCACTCCAATGTTCATTGACAGCATTATTTACAATAGCCCAGACATGGAACAACCTAACTATCTATCAACATGCATGGATGGGGAAGATGTGGTACATATATACAATGGAATATTACTCAGCCATAAAAAGGAACAAAACTGGGTAATTTGTAGAGATATGGATGGACCTGGAGCCTGTGATACAGAGTGAAGTAAGTCAGGAAGAGAAAAACAAATATTGTATACTAATGCATTTATGTGGAATCTAGAAAAATGGTCCTGCTGTGCTTAGTCACTTAAGGCAGGAATAGAGACGCACATGTAGAGAACGGACGTGTGGACATGGGGTTGGGATGAACTGGGAAACAGGGATTGACGTAAATATGCTACAGTGTGCAAAATAGACAGCTAATGGGAACCTGCTATATGGCACAGGGAACTCAACTCA